AAGACAACTTTTCAGTAACCCCATCACTATCTTCGTGTACACATGGCGCTGGACCAAGGCATCTCTTAAAACCTTGATTCCCGCGCCCAAAGTAGTCCTTGAGTGTGCTTGAAGAACTTCAGTGGAAATGTGACTGCCTACAAATAATTTCAGGTTTTGAATAAATATAGTCAAATGCGAAACGTTTATACGGATTTTCCCTTGGTTGAAACTACGATTTAGGTTACGTTTCGGGTGTGCTTTTAGGAGTTCGCCTTGTAAGACGAATTGGTGGCACCTCGGTGAGTTACCTTTACTTCCTTACGGCATGTTTCACCGTAACATCGACGACTGATGCTTAAAGCGCCTGTAATGTCACATTTTGGACTCAGGCTAGTCAGCGTGAGAGGTCTAAGATATAAACGCTTTCGATTGTTTTGGCTTTGGGCACCATTGGGCCATCTAGTTACCCCTGCGAAACCGTGTACGACCTCCCGGTCCTTATACAGAAACACCAAAAGCTGCTGTCTTTGGCGGCCACCTAAAGAGAGTCGCTTTTCAGGACAATCGTTAACGGACCTGTAGGGTGAGTTTTAAGCGACATTTTCGACCTTGGTCGCTTATGATCCCTGCCAATGCTGACTTTAAACTCGTCCCCGAACACCTTGGCCGACATAGTCTCGTGGGAATTTCAGAGCATCGGCCGTCAAGGTGACTGCATCATCGATCACCCTTTAAAGGTGTAGAGCTGGAAGTGTGTACTTGCCAATGAGGGATGTTTATTTCTGCCATCGCCATCTGGATCAAATCCTTGAAACTGGACGATGGCTTCAAGAATTTTGATAGGTTTTCTGACGCCAAGGTTAGCGTTTGTGTCTGATTTTCAGTAGAATTTTATGTGTTGCCCTGCACAGTTCAGTCAAACCACCTTTGATTTGGTGCTGTGGATACCAACTTCATTGATGCACGCTTCATGAGAGGTCCTTGTTGCCTCTTCGTCAGGCTTGCCTCAACGTGAGGCTTAATATCGTTGGTAGACAACGGAGCTGCTACGGCTGATCTGAAGCTGCAAGGTTGAAGCCACGGTCGGTGAGACCAGCGCTTTTGACAGGACAAAAACCTTCATCTGCCACCAGTTTGGCCGAACTCCCGGATCGGCGTATGTTGGTTTGGCAACACAATTACAGGACCAAGGTGACTTGGTTTTTCCTCATCCAGCTGGCAACCGTTGGGTATCTATTATAATTTTGGGTATATTTTTCAAGAACTCTAGAGTTTCAAATGCATCACTAGGGAGACTTTGAGAGCCTTGCGGGCACCACAAACTCAGTGTGCCAGTGGCCTAGCAACGTTATTCAAATAAGTCGCAGCATCACAGCTCCAGAGTGATAGTTTGAGAACACACAGACCCCGATTTGAAGATGCTATTCACTCTTTAGGGCTGATTCTCGTTTTCCGCAAGGCGGCTCCATTCTTATTTTTCGCATCCTCACAAGTCTTGGAAAGAAATCTCTTTTGCTCATCGAGTGTATTGGCTAAAGGTAATTGGTGGTGCCGATTTTTCCCATTAGAAAGTAAGGATTTGATTGTTGTCGAGAGACTCCTTGTAGGCTAGGGCACGCAGTACAATTTCCGGTTAAGAAACCCAACACAAGCAATAGGTTCAGAAGCCTTGTCTGGCGAATCCAAACGAGCAAGAAATGGGGCCAGTCGGGCCGGAGGCTAGACGCGCACCCAAAATTTCTCAGAAACCGTGGTTAGAAAAAGGAAAACTTTAACATAAAGTTTCAACATTTGATGGCAGTTGTTCGGGTGTATGAGATCTTCCCAAACGGCCGCAGTTTTGTTGAAAGTTGTTTAAAACTACTCAATCCCCACGATATTCAAGGCTCGCGATATTCATATTTTAATGGCTGCTATGGCTGAGCACGTAAATGCAGATGATACCTTTGTGGAGAATTTAGCTCGTCAAAGTTTTTTCCCAATCAATGCATTTAAGGTCGCTTTGAAAGAGTACCAGGCAAAACATTACGTTGTTTTCGACCGTGTAAACTCCAAAAAGAGCAGCAATTCGCTCCTTTTGTATGAAAAAGCCTTCTATCGTTGCAGCAGACATCCCTGCAGACGAAGCCGAAGCCGTGGAATTCGTTCGTTGATTGTGTGTACGTTGCAGCACACGTCGTACTATTTGTCCGGCAAGGTTCCACGTTCGCCGGTACCATGACTGCTTGAGGGGTACCTGTGCTTTTCTCGAACGCAGCACTCTTTAGACGTTTCCCGTATCGCTTCAAGGTGAGAAGCCCGTTGTTAGTAACGGTCAGTTTGTGGTACAAACCCTTAAATGTTCTCAGACAGTCAACATCTCGGCAGGAACCTACACGTGCATATTTTGCCAATCAATGTGGCTAGCTTGGGCACACCTAAGGAGGACAAGCCGAGTCTGCCCCGTAAGACAATCGCAATAAAACTGTTTTGTCCAATTTCGGAGTTGATGGAGACCGGTAATCTGGGGCCTAATTTCTTAGCATACGCTTTGTGGACCTTGCTTTCGAATCCCGTGATGACGAGGTATTCGTGTGATTGTAACTCGAAGGCCTCAAATGCCGAATCAATGAACCCATGGCAATCCGCAACGAGTGTGCATTTATCTTTCATCCCGGTGTTGGGAATTACGAACCACTAGGTAAGCAAACAAATAAAATTCGATTACATCCAGATGCTTAAATGATGTTCCCGAAGGTTAATTGCTTGCCCATTTTCCGTTTCAGAATCCTTGTCCCGAAAAATGGATCTCAAGAAAATTAAGCTTTTATCAGTGATGCCAATGAATAAAATGCAATTTGCCAATGGTGTTTTCGTAAATTCATAGCGGGCGCGTTATCAATGCGTGGAGTTATGAGTATAGAGCGCCATCGTTGGCCATTGTATTACGTTGGCGTGCATAGGTGAGGCCTCATAATCTGCGTCGCGAATAGCAGTTACGCTAAGTAGTCGAGGTAAGCGACAGCTCATTGTTTCGAGTAATGGAGGGAGTGGTCGAGGGTGTACAATCAAGAGTAGGAGTTAGTAGTGCGCTATCAAAATTGGTGGTGATTACAGTTTGACAGGTGATGACCACCGTTGATCGTGGGGTTGGTCTGTTATGTGTTGCCGGGGCATTATGTTTAGCTACGAGCATGTGTACGGGCTTGGAAGTTACTATAGGTCGCCGCCGTAGGTTACGTCGACTACAGTTGTGATGTTTACTTAAGGTAGCAAACATAAACGGTATCGAGTATGAGTGTGACGATAAAAAGCTAAGTTAGGTGACTTTGAGTACAGTTGTGAGTATAACAGGCTGTCAGATTATGCTATCACCCATAGTTGGGTCCTTGTTTTTACCGGTCAGCATATATTTTGGATTGATGTTTACTGTAGGTAGCGAAGATAAGCGGCATCGCGTGTAGTTAAAGGCATGAAAGATCGTCGGCTTTATACTCAGCGTTGCACATAGACACAGGTCTTGCAACTATGATAATCAGCCAAGGTAGGCGATATCAACTGAAGTTACGAGTATGACGGGTAGCCGTTGGTCGTTAAGATGTCACGCGTAGTTGGAACCTGGTTTCTATCAGCCCGCACAGATACTGGCTCGGTGATTACTGTAGGTAGCAGGCAGGTACGACAGTGAAGATCGGTGTTTAACACTGATTTCATGCTCTCCATGATGATATAAGCAGCAGAC